AAAAAAAAAAAACCTCATAACTTAACAAAACTTTAAATAAAGCAATATAAAAGAAAAAAGAAAAAAAGCATGGTGCTTAAGGTAAGCACAGGTCCTGTTGGCAGGTAATCTCTGGGTTCAAGTCCCAGTCTTCAGTCTTCACCACTGACTGGCTGTTGATTTTGGTTGACTTACCCCCTGTCAGACTTCAATGTCCTGATCTATAAAATGAATTACAGCACCTACTGCAAAGGGATGTTGGGAGGATTAAAGAACCTTTTCCCTATAAAGCATTTAGCAAAGCACAGGCACATAGAAAGCATGTAATAGAGGGTAGCTATTTTCCTCCAGACCTCACCAATGATGATCTCATTTACAACTGGGAAACATAGAGGCCATTCTTTAAACACTGAGGAGGTGGGGAAAGGACCGGCGGTTTCTTCATCTGCAGGCTTTAATCCCTCACATTCGCAGGGATCCAGGAGAGGCAGGACCTGCTTCCCAGATGACACCCCAGGTCCCCACGTGATCTTGCTCAGCAGCAGGGCCACATGCCACTCGGCCTCTTTCTTCGGGTTCTGTCCCCAGCCCCTACCCCTCCACGTCTCCCTGTTTCAGGATGGGTACACAATTTCTGTGAAGATTTCCTTTTCCTACAGATCACGACCTCATAGGCAGTTTAGCACCACTGCTCATAAGCAATAAAAATAGATTTTGTTCCTTGGCTAAAATGATTAAATGTTAAAATGGTACTTTCTCACACATGTGTTGACTCCACAGATCTTGGGGGCCCGTAACCATTTATCTTTTCTTTAATGTATCATGCCCCATGAAAGAGGGCATTAAAACCACTCTGACAGGGAAATTATATATATGCCTTCCTGCCGCTACTGCACCACTAGTATTTTACCACAAGGTTCAACCCTGAGTGCTGCAGAGAGACCTAGAATTAATGTCTGAATGAGGAGCTGGGGGAGGGAAGAATCAGTCACGATACAGGATATGGATTGAAAATTTCTGCAGTTTCAGCATTAGCTAATTTATACTTATTCTGAGGAGAAGTGCTTCCTTGTCAGGCACCTGGAAGATGAACGGCAGTAAGTGTTCAGTGCCGTAAGTCCTGGCTTGGAGCACTGGCATTTTCCTGGGATGACAGAACGCTAAAGTGATCTGCAGACCCTAACAAGATGTTAGGAAAGGACTGATACGATAAGGAACTGAGAATACATTGTGTTGGCGGTCAAGGTTAATCATGAGATCCTGAAACAAGAAAAAAGGAGGTAGCGGCACCAGGCTTTTAATACCAGACCAAATTCAGTGTGCATGTTTCTTTAGCATGACTGAACAAGGGAACATGTCTATGCCTTGAGATGGAACCCAGGAAAACACAAAATCGATACAAGGAAGGTTTACCCAATTGACAACTCAACACTAGGTCCCACTGCCACTCTCTTGCCTGAGATTGAGGCCTCTCTGCAGGTACAGGTGGATTAGCTTTCAGACTCTCATGGACGGTCCACCAGGGTCTGTCACAGGCTGCAGGGGAGGGTGTGGAGGGGGGCCTTGTATGGCTGGGAGGACTCGTGAATAATGAGCTACAACTCAAGCTCCAATGAGACAGCAGCACAGTGGAGTGGAAACCCAGCCTGGGGTGAGGGGAGGAGGGCTCATGGGGGAGAGGAAGGGGTGGAAGATGTCATAGAACTGGCATTGGGCTGGCTCCCTGCAGGGAACGGGGGTGGATGGGGTCAAGGCAGCAGCAGGAGACAGTGAAGTGAGACTCAGGGGTCGAGCAGAGAAGTGTGGTGGGACTCCCCCAGATCTGGACCTCAGCGAGGCTGAAACGCCATGCTGTGGAGCAAGGCGGGTGACAGGAAGGCAAGTCTGTGCTTCTGGAAGCTCCCCAAGGCTGCCCTGTGAAGGCTCAGGGCAGATCTCTTCTCACCGTCTTCTGTTGAGCCAGAAAGCCCTGGACCTCCCGAAGCTCATTCTCACCAAAGCCTTTGCGGGGGCCCCCAGACACCTCTACTGGGCCTCCTGCGCTCTGCTTGAGTTGTACCTAATGCCCAGTTGTTAGGGGAAGCACGCTGATTGAAACCGCCCACCCTGGCCGGACACCATAGTAACCATTTGCATGAGCTGTTTTACGACAGGAGGTCCTGGTAAGGAGCATGGAATTAATAAGCCTCCACCAACAGGAATAGTTTGGGAAAGATCAAAAGGAGACACCACCTGTCCAACCACCTCCCAGAATCCTTCTCTCTGGCATCCATCTTGACTGAACAAGGCCTGTAGCACCAGGAAGGGCTCTGAGTCAGAATGATTGGCTAAAGACAATCCGGAAACCGAGCCCATCACCATAAAAGCCGAGACTGCCAGCCATGTGGCAGAGCAGTTCTGGCTTCCCTTACCCTCCTGCTCTCCACCTGGGCGCCCTGCCCCAATAAAGCTCTTGTTTTGTCAGCACATGTGTCTCCTCAGACAATTCATTTGAGTGTTAGAAAAGAGCCCAGTTTCAGACCCTGGAAGGGGTCCCCCTTCCTGCAACGCTGTGACTGCTCAAACACTGAGCACATTGATATCATTAGCTATCAGAAGCCAGGGGCCAGATTCCCCCAAAATTCATTCTTCTGTGGGGAGAAAATAAAGAGTATTAGGAGTTAAACTCATGCCAGGTACTCTGCTCCTCTCTACCCCACTTCAAGAGATGCCTTAGGGACATGTCTGCTTGCCAGAAACCTGGAAGCAGCTTCCTAATTTGTTCCTGTGGCCTTGTTTCTCTTTTGCCATCAGTAGGCAGGTGTGCAACTTGTGTGTGTAAATAAATAACCAAAGACAGCAAGCACTCATGGAGTACATACTATGTGCTAGACCTTGTTCTATATCCCCCTGAAAACATCTAATCCTCTTAACAACCACAAGTGGATGATGAGAACTAGAGCGCAGAGAGGTTGGGTAGCATACCCCCGACACACACATGCAACTGACATTGCATCACTTACAAGAAATGGACCTCTGACTCATTCAGGCCCATCAGGAAAACATTTCCTTTGAGCTGTTTTTTGTGCTTCCTTCCAAAAGATTCAAAATAATAAAGTGGTGCTCTCAGGAGACGTATCATTAAAAAGACCCAAGGATGTGGCAGGATGGGTTAGTAGAAAGAGGCTGGGTTCCTGTTACGTTGCCTCCACAGACCGGCTCCACAGCCCCACTGAATAATGTCACTTCACACTAACACCCGCTCTCAGGTTCTCGCTAGAGATGCTTCATGTTTGTACAGTACTTCCAAGCGGACCAGGCACCCTCCTGCTATCATCTGACTTGATCTGCTTCTCACCACAACTCAGTGAAATAATTACCATGGGTGTATTATTCCCATTTCACAGAAAATTCTTATTTTTGAAGAGAAAGGAAAGAGATTAAAGTGTAATTTTAGGCAAAAGAAAAGTTGGATTATTTCTTTGATTTACTCTGAGAGCTGTCCAAGAATGTTAACTGAAGCTTTTACACAGAAAGCACATTTTCCTTCCTTAACTCAAGCCGGAAGCCAGCCCAGTCCACTCCGCGTCCTTCATCAGTGAAGGGCAGCCATTAGTCCTCCTGTGAAACTGAAGCGGGCCCTTCTTCTGGAGGCGGAACTGTGAACCCGAGCTTCTGTTGACTCTTCAGAAAGGTAAACAGAGTTTCCCTCTGCACCGGAGGAAAGGCGTTTGCCAAAAGCCCTGCCATGAATAGTCAGCTTTATTTCTGGAGTGCCTTCCTCACAAAATCCTGATATTTATTAACTCAAAATAAAACAAGAACTATGAAAACAAACCTGAGACACTGGATGATGAATAAATAACACTGGTGTTCATACTTTCCTAGGGACTGAAAGAAATACAGTGAAATCTGTGCCCAGAGCCATCCTGGTACATCCAGGGGTCTTTTCTGGTAAGACTCGCAGGAACCATCACAAGCGACCTTCACCTCAGCTGTGTTTTTATCACAAACACATGCTGAGGGAGAAGGCGCACAGCCTCGGGGCCTGGCATCTGCGGCTCGGATCTGTCCAGAGTTCACCGCTCCCCAGTTACTCGAGTCCAGGGAGATGGGGAGTGCGGAAACCTGCCAGGCCCGTCGGGGTTGGGAGCGGGCGGCGGGTGAGGAAGAAACTTGCCTTGGCTGGGGCCTGATACTGCCAGTAAAGCCGGGCACTAGTATTCTTGCCTGGAGAATTCCGTGGACAGAGAAGCCTGGCAGGCTACAGTCTGTGGGGTTGCAAAGAGTCGGACACGACCGAGCAACTAACACACACACACCTGCAGTGTGGTCCTGTTTGCTCCTTTAAAACGTATTTTCCTTTTGCTTATTTTTTTAGAAGAATGGCTCTATCATTTCCAAGCTCGTCTTTAAAGAAAATCAATCAACATAGAGACAAACAAGAAAGCAAGAAAAAGTTACTCTGACTCCTCCCCTCAGAAATAACCATTGCTAATATCACATGGACTTCACCCCAGTGTTTCTCCGCAAAGCTACACAGCAGGCAGACAGACAGAAGAGCGGATGGATGGGCAGGTGAGCGTGGGTCCTAAAACCGGAAACAAAAAGTACTGTTAAATGAAAGCATGAATGTGAATTCTGCTTCAACAAAAGGAAACTGAAACTGCAGGACTATTTGAATGTCAGACAAATGTATCTTCACACACAAGACTTCGGTTTCTAACAAAAAACAATCTTTCTAAAATTATTGAGAAAAATGCTGAGAGGTTACAGTGCTTATTTTTTAACACCATGGCTTAGGTTTCAGCAGCATGGATGGTGAAAGATGAATCCTCCCCCGTTTTTTTCCTGCCTCCCAAGTTTAGTGTGTTTTGTTATTGCCATGACTTTATCAGAAGTTTGAACATATACAGCTTCTTCCATAGTGACGGTCTCAGGTACTGAGTGGCATGTACGCAGCGCAGCCACTGTCCCTGCTGCCTGACACTCAGCTCTGGGCCAGCGGCTCTGACTCTGTCCTGCAGGGCACGGAGGAGGGGGTCGGGGGAGGCCCTCAGCTGAAAAGCCCTCTCTGTGAGGCTCATGCACATTGAATGCATAAAGGAAGATGCTTTCGGCAAACCAAGAATGGCCTCCAAATAATACTTCATCCAAAGCCAAATTCAATTCATTGGTACATTTGTTCCTTCAGTAGAATGTTAGGATTAAAAGGTTATCCCAGACACCACCCTGGAAAACCCTCTCATTTGACTAATGAGGAAGCAGAAGTCTCAACAGGCTAAATGACCAGGCAGAGGTAATAAAAAATGGACATGAATTGGATATTCACAGTCATGCCCTCTCCTCTCCCCAAATCCAGAAAAAGCCAAGTCAGGCCACTGCATCTTGCTGAACTTGGCCATCACTGATATGCTAGCAGAGTTCTGCGCCCCTCCAGGGAAACCCGCCAGGACAAGGATGCAGTGCTGAGCGATGAGCAGGCCCTGGATTCAGGGCTGTGCAGGAGTGCCGCCTGCCTCCCCCAGGCCGTTACGGAGGGCAATCCCTGCTTCAACCTCATCTGACCTGGAAATAATTGGTGGTGGAAAAGAGGGAAGCAAAGAGGCCTGGGTGTCCATATGGCAAAATTAAAGTTGTGGATCTGTGCAAAGGGAAATATAGGGGATGGGAAATGCTCCTACTATTTTTTGACTTTAGGATTTATTAGAAAGAAGACTAAATAGATTGGCTGTCCCTGGTGAGTGAAGACCATTGATTTCCTCTCCTCCTTCCTCTTACCCTTGACAGGGAACTCCAGGCAGCTCGGTGAAGCCAGTAGGGCTACAGACTTGAAGTCATAGGATCCCCACATAGCAGCTAGCATCCTGGGTAAGCTCTTCAGCCTCTGGCCTCAGCCTCCCCATTTGTACAGTGGCAATAACACCTGCATGATGTCCTTGAAAGGACAAACTTAGACCATGTATGTTAATGTTTACCAGGGTGCCTGATAGATCATAAAAACTCAATAAATGGCTTCCTAGGTGGCACAGTGGTAAAGAATCTGCCTGTCAATGCAGGAGACACAAAGACACAGGTTCGATCCCTGGGTCGGGAAGATCCCCTGGAGGAGGAAATGGCAACCCACTCCAGTATTCTTGCCTGGAGAATCCCATGGACAGAGGAGCCTGGCGGACTATAGTCCATGGGGTTGCAAAGAGTTAGACACGACTGAGCAACCGTCTGAGCTGAAATGGCTATGTTTCTCACAGACCCGAGAAGACTGGTTCTTAAGAGAATGTCAAACATCTCTGATTTGAAGTTCAGGCCTGAGGAAATGGCAAGAGGGAGATGGGGAACAGAAATGGGAATGTTTATATGTTTTCACATATTACACATCTTGAGGGAATAATTTCTAAGTCAGGTGCATGTCCCTTCATGAACATGCTGTTGATGGGAGTGGGGCTGGCAAAGCAACAGCTGACCTGTGAGGCCTGCTGACAGAGAGCCTGGTAATCGATTGAGAGGTTGCTGGGGGTAATCACTGCTCTGTGCATGGCTTGGCCCAGCGTGCAACGGAAACTCTCTTATAAGAGAAATGCATCTGCTTAAAGACACTGGCTGTAACAACAGATCTCTTCTTCCTGAAGCTCCAAAGACTACTTGCTCTTGCATTCTGGCCTCCTCTAACCACTAGCACTTCTGCGCAGAAAGCAGATTCCCTTGCAGTCAGTCCTAGGTGTTGTCAGGGCGGGCAGCTCCAACAAGCGAGGGCACCTCTTATGAACTTGCATTTTTCTTTATTGTCTCCCTGATATTCCTAGCAGATGCTCTAGGCTGTGTGAAGGCAGCACAAACCAGGGCCGGTGCTGAGAAAGCAGGGGCTCATCCTTCCATCCAAAGACATGCATGGAGGGTGTGCCTCTGCTGGGCTCAGGGTTGGGCACCAGGCACTGAGCCAGGCTGACAGGTTTGTGCTCTTGGACCTCACGAAGTTTCTTTATTGCTGCCTTGATGGAGGCAAGACGTTGGCAGGGCCAACAGTCCCCGAGGGCCCTTCTTGCCCCCACCAAGATGCTTCCTGATGAAGTCATCCGGCCT